CGATGGACACCAAACAAAACTGTGTCCACCGATTTTATCACTAATCTTCAGCCTCCTTTTTACAACATCGCCTTACAAAATGGTGTGTCTAAAGTAAAGGAAATTGTGAAGGTGATCTTTGGAGGGACTCGCTGTGTGCGTCGAGAGCGGAGGCCAGCGGGTTTGGCCTCTCGGATGCCTCTCAAAGCAGCAGCAGCAGCAGCAGCGCTACAGTCCTTCCAACCACCCATTCGGTGCAAATCAAGGGTTCCTTTAACCACGGCTTACCGTGGGGCATAAAACTTGCATAAAAGAATTGTCTGAAGCAAAAAATAAGTGTAATTCTGCCTCATTGATATTTTTGAATGGCGAATGGATGTTTCAGCAATGATAAAAACTATTTTAAGGAGGGCAATTTTTAGTTTCTTTGCACCTTATTGTGCATTTCACACCCCAAATAGCCTCCCGTAGGACATTTTACCACGTTTTATACTTCTGTATTGACAATTAAACACCATAAACGGATGATTTAGTAGCTAAAAGTCTGTAGAAATGTTATTTTGTTTATAAAGAGTGATTGGATCTTTCCTCAGGTTCGGTTTCTTCGCTTTCCTCTTAATAGGTTGAACTCGGATTGAACGGTCACACGCGGACCAATCAGAAGGCCGAAGGCTTTGGGGTCATTGGACTAGAGGGGGGAGGAGGCAAGGGCAATGCGAACACGTGCCATTGGAAGTGGGGAGAATGAATCGTGTGCACAAACTGACTGCAGCTCTACTCGTTTTGATAATCTTATCCCTGATCCTCTCCCTACTACTGCCCTATTGGGAGTGTGGCTACTTGTTGAGGGAGTGTATTGAAGGTGGCCGCGTCAATCGTGATGTTATGCTGGCAGTGGCTGTATTACTTGTCAGCGGTTTGATTCTACTCTCCGCTGATCTCATTGTCGAGGTGGTACGACTGTGTGTGACGCCTATGCCCACTGGTGCAGTGACTGTGCGATTCCTCTTCACCTATCTCGGATCGCTGTCAACTTTTTGTGGTGTGTTGGTGTACACCGGTCTCGTGATGGGTCGGTGGGCGTACTTTCTGGCTATCTTTGGCGCAACCATCGCTTTTGTGGTGCAAAAACTCGCCATGATCTCCTCACGATGCGTCACACAACCTTAACTTTGCAATACTTGACCCGAAATGTCCCCATTTGCCTTTTACACACCTCTAATCATTCATTCTTCCAATTGCTAGGCCTTTGTATCATTTACAGTTACCTACTTTTTTCGTGTAAAGTAATAAAATTGTGTAGTAGAGAAGGTAAAAAGTTGCCTTTATCTACGATAAAATGCACATGATCTTAACAGGTCTGACAAATCGGTTGGTATTTTGCCATTCGGGATCCTCGTAAGTGGCTAAAATTGGCATTCTTTGGTGGGATGACGTTAAGACACCTTTTATTTTGCATTGATGCAAACAACTAGGAAAATATTGCACCACTGTTTTACTCTTTGCGACCATTTTATGGCCTCTTTCCTGACTGGACCGCCTAAAACACCCCATTAAATGAGTTTGGTTTTGTTAAAAGAGGTAAAGTTGTCTTTAGTGGACACTTTGTAGGAGGTAAGGGATGTCAAAAGGTGGCCATCGGTGGTGCCGAGGGTGGTCCGCACTTTATGCTTGTCTTCGGAATGAAGGAGAGATTAAGTGGGTTGGACCCGCCGTTTCCTTCTTACATGCCTATAGGGCTAAGGGCGGAAGGAGCGAACCTGTCTTCATAGTTGCCCTACCTGCATTTTGATCCGAGAATTCGGAGAAATTTGTTGGGATGGTAGGGTTTTGCAATCACTCTCGCTCCCTTGGCCCACTTTCTGTGAACAGAAGGCCTCAAGTGAGTGAAGGAGGGCAAAGACTAGAAGTGAGTCCGTTCATCCCCCTTCCCCCCTTGTAGTTTGTTTAGAGGTCTCAGAGCGGTGGGGTAAAAAGGGCGTCTACAACACAGAACAGAATAGTGAAACCTTCCAACGAGCTATCACAAGTGTCACCTGCTTCACAAACTCAAAAGGCCTGTCAAATTGGAGAGAGAAGGTAAATTGGAAGCTCGAGAAATGACCTTGATGGGATGGTCGGGGTTGTTGGCTGTTTTTTATTCCAACTGGGAGAGTGTGTGTGTGAACCAATCACCTCATCATGACCCAAGCAAATATTCCGAGGCCACATCAGCATTTTGCCACAAATAAGGAAACAAGAAAACAAAAACAAAAACCACGATCAACAGCATAAAAGCAGACCCTAGAAGTGCATTTACGTGAAGAAGATTTCAAATGTTTTGTACGGTTTAAAATGTTCGCTTGATTACACGTTCACATGGATGCACATGAGTTAAAGATTCGATTTTCCTTTCTCACAGGGGATTATTTTTTAGAGTACATTTGAAAGTGTCTTCTGTTCCAATTTAAAATTGGGCGTTTTTATGATCAAAGCCAAGACGTCCGTCTAACGTCAGCA